TGACTAAATTGACTTAAGTCACTATAGAAAACCATTTTAACTATTTATTATATAATTTTTCTTTATTTTATTAATAAAATATATTTTAAATATAATTTTGTCATAATTCAACAGAATAAGTCAATCCAGTTAATTTTATCTATTTTCATATTACTTTATGAAATTTGTATGTTAATTGTTAAGCATTAATTCTAATTAATCTTAATATCATCAACAATCTTTGGTTTTCTTGTGTTAGAGAAGTAATGTTTGTGTCATGTTTAATTTAATTTAGTTTATAAATTCATTTACACATTCATTGTCTGTAATAATGTAGCTATGTTGAATGATGATAATGTGTTTACTAGTTATTAGTAGTAATTAACTTTTATTTTTAGATAATTTAATGATTTTATATTGATAAAACGATAAATATTCATCTCAACTATATTACATAAAACATATATATTCATGAACTTTTTTCGAACTACTCACAAACAAATTAAATCAATAATATATACAGTTTTATCTATCTCGCATACTCATATAATTCAAGACATATTTATCTCTTCTCGTTTTTATTTTATTTGTTGTTTTATTGTGCTTGCATTCTTTATGTAATATGTTTAATCCCTTTAAGTATTATATCAATTTTAAATCAAGTGACAATTTTTTGGTAAAAAACCAAAAAAACCAAAACCGAATCGAAACAAGCCGAACCAATCAAACCGTGATTTCAAGTTTTGGAGAGTAAAACCGAACCGAAATCAAACCGAACTTTTTACTTTGATTATGTATTTGGTTTTAGGTCAAAACCGAACCGTAAGAACCGAACCCACCCCTACTCCCTGCCGTCGGATGCCGCAAGGTACTCTGCCTTATGGCAGAGGATCCGAATCCCCATTACTGAGTGAGGGTTTGCGGCATTGGCCTTTGGATATGTGAGTGTGAAGCTGTTAAGCCGGGTCTCATAACAAGAGTGTAATGGGAATTTAAAAAAATTGTGGATGTATTTAGTAAATGGGGGTGTGTAAATAGAATTTCCCATTGTACATATTATTTGAGTATTCTAGATTAATTTTTTATAGGTAAAAGTATAGGTGGTTGGGCTCGTTTTCAGATAGGGTCATGTGTTTCATTCTTTGTCAAAGTGGTTCATGTGTTTGAATTCCGTTATCACAAGAGGGTCACGCCGTTAAAAACGTCTGAAAAAGACTGTTAAAAGTCGCTCCGATTTTCAAAAGTGCCCGGAAAATTAAAATAAAAATACCGAAAGGTGCGCCTCGTCAAATGACCTTCAAACCACCTTCGCCTTTGGATTTTTCATATTTGTTTGAATTATTTTTTAAAAAAGATTTCTCTAATAGCACTTTTTCAGTGGACTTTCCGGTGACAAGGATGGCTGAATACAAAAAAGAAAGATGGCCTGACGGTCGTCTTATTGAGGCACACCTTTTGATATTTTTCCTTTAATTTTTCGGGTACTTTTGAAAATCGGAGTTACTCTTAACGGTCTTTTTCAGACGTTTGTAATGGCGTGACCCTCTTGTGATAACGGAATTCAAACACATGAACCACTTTGATAAAGAATGAAACACGTGACTCGATCTGATCGAAAACGGACCCAACCACAAGTACCTTTTTCGTACTTTACCCTTTTGTATATTATCAGACATTTTATGTAACTAGGCCTGTCAGGGCCATGTTAGAGGCCTAGACCCGGACTTTCCTATGTATACTGCTTTGTAAACCCTAACACATAACCAATATTTTAGACATTGAATACGCTATTCATCTTCTTCTTGTTCACTTCTTAGCTCTAATCACTCATAAATTATATAGTTTGGATACTCTATTATCCACCAATCTCCATTCTAAGATATTTGAATTTATGTAATTAATTTAAAAATAAGATGCATGTATTCAAAGCTTGCAAAAGACTTGATATTTGTTCAAAACAACATTTGTCTTTAATCAAGAGCCTCAAAGCAATATAGGAATACACGAGTTTAATTTACCAATATTTCCATAAATGCACCACAGTAGAAGGTTGTCTTCAAAAGATAATATTATCATTGAAAAGTAGTAGCTCCCGTGGAAATATTTCTTAGAACTTATAGATCCGGTTTATTGACCCTTATGTCAACATATCATGCTTATCAATCAATTTTTTTCTAATACAAATTTCGATTTCGTTTATGTGTTAATCAAAATAAGAACTCATTTAGTAAGATAATAATATGATGGTGAATCAGCTGAAACAACTAAATTGGTGAATCGATCTGGTGAATGATGAGAAAATTATATTCAAAGTATATTTTATTAAGAAAATAAAGAATAAATTGTATGAAAAATCGTTAAAATAGTTCTCTACAGTAATTTCAGTCAATTCAAACAGAAATGTAACTTCAGTCTTACTTATTTTGATTATTATACAATCCAACGCGTGATGTGAGTTTTCTCGTACTTAAACTATGTGTAGCAGTATGGGATATAAGTATGAGTATCGTCTCCACATGGACGAAAAAAGGGAATTAATGATTGAATCCAATGATTAAAATAATTAAAATAAATGTGAATGTGCGAGATTTAAGTGAAATAAATTGCGACCGAAATAAAGATAAATTTAAGTGATTCTTTCGAACCAATGACAAAAAGGGAATATGGATTGATTTCGCAACAATCCAGTCTAGAGAACCAGGTTGATTTCTCATGCGACAAATTTCTAAGCTATTGCCAAACGAGCGAGCGTAAGACTCCCTAATCACTACTAATCTCTTATTAGCAATTAGGGCACTTTCACACACACCTAACTGGATTTGGATAATCCCATCAAAAGATATGGAAAGAATGGTTTAAGGTCGCATTCTGAAAATCTTAATAGCGATTATTGTTGGGTGTAATTCGGAAAATAAAGAAAATTAATTAAATAAATTAATTAAATAAAATGACTAGAGAAAACAAGAAACGAGATGAAGCAGAATTAGTCAAAGCTCGTGCTACGCATGATGTCCTTAAAACGTATTTGTTGCCTCCCACGGTGCTAGGAGCGTTGCAACAATCGTTTCCCAGGATACGATGACTACGAACTAATGTTTGAGCACACAAACAAAAGTTCCAGCGAACGAGAACAAGTCTGAACACTCAGGAATTTTTCAGAATGCTAGCAGTGTGTTTTTAGAGCTAAAACGTGTATGGATTCGTGTAAAATCGTGTGTAAGAACGTGTGATGTTGCAAACCACCTGCCAGCCTTTATATAGGAGGATTTGTTGTGTGTAAATGGTGAATTAATGGACCTGAACGTTGGACATAAATGACCAGGCCGTTGGGCATTGAATCGTCCATGAACTGTCCATTTAACGCTGCATTAAAAGATAAGAACGTTGGGCATTAATTGTTGTAACGTTTCAGAAGTGCGACAGAAGTCCTCCATCAGAACACCCCGGGAGGGGTTCTGATCGGAGGCCAATCAGAAGACCCCAACTCTGATCCGCGGCCATCAGAGTACCCCCAACTCTGATGGGCGGCCATCAGAATACCCCATCTCTGATGGGCGGCCATCAGAATACCCCATGAGGGGTTCTGCCATCAGAACACCAACGAGGTGTTCTGATCCGTAGGCTTCTGTCCGAGCACTTCTGCCGTTGGGAAAAAATTAAACGTTTCGGGAAGAAAGGCTTCTGTCCGAGCACTTCTGCCGCTGGGAAAAAATTAAACGTTTTCGGGATGAAAACAAAAATTAATCGTATCTCTTGAGAGATAGATTTTTGGACGACATTCGTGTCCGCAAGTCGCCCGCGCACGCAAGTCGCGGTTTTTCTTCTCCGAATTCGGGATTTGATTTGCACCCCCCCCCCCCCTGCGCGCGTGGAGAGATCCTTTACCCTTAAGAATCTTAACTTCATAAGGGGGGAGTCCTTTTATAAAGGGTAGCAAATCCCTTGGGTTTTCCGGTGTGGGAAATTAACACACTAGAAACTCATCCTTTTTCCCAGTTTTTTCATTCTAACGGGTAAACTTCGAAAAGCGATTTCTCATTCACCCGTTATCCGTTTTGAGCGTACCATATATCGAATTGTAGCCCTGAACAAGGACAATCCGAAACCACTTTGACCCGACCCAAATCGGAAGTGGACCCCACTCAAAAAATTGCCCGAAAATAGCCATTTAATGCAATTTTTCACACATTTTTCCAACAATTATCTGACTTCCTCGTGTATTTTCACCTTGATCTTCCGACATTCTCGTCATGGTGTCTTCATATAATTTGTAGCCCATTTAATTTATTTCATATGAAATTTGAACTGTTGCATTTGGATTTTTATACGAAAAAATATGGTCAAACGATTGACATAGCACCATCCTGATTCAAGGATGGTGGTTCAAATAGCCGTTTTTCATCTTTTTGTTGAACAACCCTAAAAGTTTGTTTTCAAATAAATATTTCTACTTCAAAATTAAAGAGTTTAAAGTCAAAGGCTAAAAGCATCTCCAATGCTACAATGTGAACGGTGCACATGTGACATAAGAGATAGCCGCATAAATATTAACCAATAAATTATCACTCTAATTTTATACAATTTTGGTAATTTTTTCTCCACAATGTCAAGAGGACCATCTAGATGTTGTCATTGCAGAGAAAAACTTATCAAAATTGTACAAAATCATTCAAATAAGGAGAGAGATAATTTATTTGCTAATATTTATGTGATTATTTCTCATGTCACATATGTACTGTGCGACTTTGGAGATGCTCTAAAAATAAATTGAGTGGTGCTTTCCACTTTTATTGTTACAAGAAAAAGTACTATTTGTATTTAACATCATACATACAGTTTAACTTTTAAATTTTCAAAATTACTTTTTTTCAAACAATATCAATTTTTACTGGAATCACTTTTAAATAATTTTTTACTGTGCATCACAAGTCAAGAAACAAGGCCACAATTGCAGCAAATTACTCTTTCTTTCAAACAGCAAAGCAGCAAATCGAGATTAATTAAAACCTCATAAAAGAGATGGCCAGTTTACCCACGTCAATTTTTCGGTGACGATTTTAAAGCAAAATGGAGCAAAACAGAGCACCTTGTCTTGGTTCTCTCTGGATATGGTGTTCAACTGTTCATTCTCAAACACTCTAACTCTTACTTTTTACTATCACGTACTAACTTTTACTATTAAACACTATTAAAAACAAAAAAAATCACTTTTTAAGATGAGAAGTAATGATCTTGTATTATAATAACAGGTTTAAGAGGATATTTTAAAGGAAAAATTGATAAGGATATTTCACCTTTCACTGGTCTTCTCATAATAATCTCACATTTACGTAATTCAAGAATAATCTCACCTTTGAACCTCATCTTCATTCATTGGATCCTGACCTATTGATAACCTACAAAGATGGAATTATTTATATAAGATTTTCAAAGAAAAGGTCCAATGAAAGAAGATAAGGTGCAAAGGTGAGATTATTCTGGGATTACGTAAAGGTGGGATTATTATGAGAAGATCAGTGACAGCTGAGATTATTCTTATCAATTATTCCTATTTAAAGATGCTCTAAGGCTTCTAAGCTGCTTCAAAGTCAGTGTTCAATATACAGTGCAATAAATGCCACAATTCAATTATCTCGGGATTACGTAAAGGTGGGATTATTATGAGAAGACCAGTGACTAGGCCTGGACTCGGGCCGGGCGGCCCGACCTGGAACCGGCCCGGCCCGGCCACTGTAGCAACCGGCCCGGCCCGGTGGCCCGGTCCACCGGCAGTTCGGGTCGAACCGGCCCGGTGGTTCCCGGTTCCGGGCCCGGGCCTCCCATATGGTGAACCGGCCCGGCCGGTTCGGGCCCGGTCCGGGCCGGAAATAATTTTTTTTTTATTTTTTTTTGAAAATTTTTTATGTTTTGGGTTAGATTAGGTATTTTGGTCCATTTGAGGTGGTTTGGGGTGGTTTGGGGTTGAGAAAGAGGGGTAGGGGATTAAATAAAGAAGCCAAAAAAAAGAAAAAAAAAATAGGGCGGGTGGCCCGGCCCGGAACCGGCCCGGTCTGGCCCGGAACCGGCCCGGAACCGGCCACCCCCGGTTCGGGCTCGGGCCTCAATATTCTGAACCGAGGCCCGGCCGGGCCCAGGCCCGAGGCCCGAACCGGCCCGGTTCAGTCCACCCCTACCAGTGACAGCTGAGATTATTCTTATCAATTATTCCTATTTAATGCGACACTTTTCACATTACAAGTCATAAAGTGTTTAATCTCTTTACTCTGCAATGGGCTCTTTCTTTGATCAATTGTGTAATGAGGTGAATAGATTGAAGAGCCAATTACACTGGCTGAATCAGCATATTGAGACTCTTTGTGGCTATGAAATGGGCAGTTTTATATTTTGCGGTTGAGGACCTTTTCTTTTGTAATTAAATTCATTTGATTTCAATTAAATAAATGATACACACGTATGAACAATCCCATTTTCGACAGTGCATTGTGTACGGTATATGAAGTTTAATTTTTCAGCTTTTCACCTGCATCCTATATTATTCCATGTGGTATAACATTCCATACATTTATTGCCATGTGTCACAATTAATGTTGAAAGCTTAAACCGTAGAGTATCCTAATCACTTCAATGAATGCGTTAAAATCAGTGGAACGGGATGGTTGTGAATAGATTGAAAAATAAATGCATTAAAAAATACAAAGTATTAAAAATAAATTTATTAAAAGTACAAAGTATTAAAAATAAATTTATTAAACTACCATTTCTAATACTATTCTGCTTTCTATTGCTTGTGAATAAGTTGTGATGCGTCAATACTCTCTCCAACTTCTCTCTAGGACTACAATTACCTGGCCTCTGTAGGTAATGGCTTGGTAGAAATTGAGGTCACCTCCATCTTCTGTTAGCAAACGTCTCTCTTAGGTATGATTGTATGAACGTCAGTGTTAACTGATCGACTACATATCTGCACTACAACACATTTACACAACATTTAAACGGTAAAGCACAGAAAAAATGAAAAACGGGGCATAATCCCATCATTGTGATTTCATATTCAAACCCTATTAGTTTTTCCTATTTCAAATTATTGAAATTTGACTGAATATACAAGTTAACTCTTCACTAATAACATATAAAGTAGCATCAATAATTAAAATTTGCACATTTGCAAACTAATTTTTTTATAGAACTGAGAAACCCAGATTTGATTAAAAAAACAGGTACACAAAATGAAAGAACAAAAATTGAATTAATTTGACTACATGATTAGTGAAATGGAAAAGGAAATAGGAATGGATGGAGTAAAACAAATTAAAAGTATAGCAGGTATACTCATCAAAAGATGTAGAGCATCTGCTCTCATAGAGAGCCAAGATGCAAAGGTTGTGTTTATTGGGCCTCAGATCAGTAGTCTATTTCTTCAGAAATGCTGGATTTTCCTCTATACACATACGTGATCTCTTCCATCCAGGTCTGCAAAAACGTTGTTCCAGTTAATAGTTCTTGTTTGGAGTTCCCTTAAGAACAGTGTGTAACCCAGTGAAGTTAGTGTTACTGTGTTACTATGCCAACGGTTCAAGATTTGATTACAAGGGGATGATGTACTCACCATTTCCATTATAAACTGTTGGTAGTGTAACTTACTCCAATGAATCCAATCCATTTTCTTAGGTTATGATTAGATTGCTGGAAAATGCTCACAAAATTTTAGAAAATGCAAAGGGAAGTCATTTTAATATGTTCGGTTTGACACTTTTACCTCTGAAAATGCGAAGGAAAACACATACGTAGATTTTTTTTTAATTTTCATATATTTAGATTTCTTAGTCTTTATAAGATATAATCCCTCCGTCCCATTCAACATTGCACACTTTCATTTGAGTGTGAAATAAGAATAGTAAAAACAGTGTGGTTGATATTTGTACAGAGAAATAAGAACCACAATTTCATTACTTTAAAAGGAAAGTGACAAAGTTTTCGGGACAAATAAAAATAGAAAGTTGGCATAGTCTAATGGGACGGAAGAAGCATATAAATAGAAAAATAAAATGAGTGTGAACAAATATCTAAAATAAGTTTGTTGAGTTATTCTCCCCGCATTTTTGTTTCATATTTTGCTCAAGAGTTTCCTGGAAAATACATGGGAAAGGAAAGAAACCTTAAGGGAAGTCAATACTTGTATTTAGATTTACTGTAAATGCAAAGAAAAATGAAATATAATTGATGTCATATTAAACTTGACATATCTTTAGATTGCTTGGTAATTAGATGGCAGAAATAAATAAATAATGAAGAACAAATATTAAAAATCAATTTCTGGAGTTTGGAACAATGTTTTTTTCCTCAACATTTTCTTTCCTTCCAAAAATGCCCAATAATTTCCTCCCTATTTTCTTTCCCTGGCATTTTTCGCGTTCCAAATAGACCTTAAAAGTTAGAACACTTACATCATGTCTGAAGGAAATCCTCATGTTTGGAACATTTGTTTTGTGAATGTCATTTCCTTCAGGGCCTCTCTTGAAATATTTGTTCCCTAGCCAATGCAACTGCAACATTTAACAAGAGGCACTGGCTATAAGGATCAAAATTTACACACAATCATGTCAAGGACCAAGAGAAACATGTAAGGTACCAAGAGGGAATAGCCGAGCCTAGTGAGTGATAAATAGGCTTTGTTTGATATTACTCAGCAACTTTTGACTTACTTATTTGGATGAAGTGGCTGTTACCAAACGCTTTTAACTTAAAAAAATTCAGTTGAATAACAATAACCAAATGGGCCATTAGAATATAGGTACATACCTTGTCAGCATGTGAAAATCCAGACTGATAAACAGAATTCCTAGCTATCTCACAGAGGTCACAAGAATTCAGCTTCCAAACCTGGATTAATATATAATTAGCAAGGTGCACAAACACATTGTTGTGCTCTTTTGACTAATACGCACACATACATACATGTGTACATATGCACGATATACAACTAATACAAGTATAGACTAACCTTAGCTGCAACACTATATTCTTCAACTAGGGGCTCTTTTGTCAAATGAATTTGCAAAGGGTCATCAGTTGAGAGTGAAACATTCAGCCCACGCTGGAAGAACATAAGGAAGGGATTGCGATGGTAGTCCAGAAAAAGTGAATTGTTACTTAGAGGAGACATAGCCAATCCAATCTGCAATACCATTTGAATTATTATTAAAAAGATACACAATTGAATGTTTGTAAACCTGGAAGAACAGAAAAAAGAAATTCATCTTATAGTCAAAAGCTAATTTCAAGAGAGATGTGATTCCCTTATCCAATCCCCCAGGTTTCACTTTCTATACCACTAAACAGGACATAATTTTTTCGACCACCAGATTCCATCATATCATTGCAGTTATGACACCCAATCCCCTGAAACTAACTAAATGCATTACCCTAATTGAATACATCGAAAACACTGCATAGCAAATCTCTAATTGCAATAAAGGTGAAGTGAACTCAGTTTATGGCCTAAATCGATTCGAGTGCGGTGGGGAATGAAATTTATTAGTACACTTAATTAGTTTCAGAGGGGCTAAAAACCTAATTGTCGTTTCTATTAAGCACAATAACATTTGGAAGATTAAAAGTTCCTCACTAAAATGTGCACATTGGTGGTAAGGTATGTCATGGAGTTTTTCCAAGGAATTCTTGACAATAGCGGCCATTCAATGAATGGGAAAAATATATAAAAGGGTTGAGTAAATCGACATGCAACTGATTAGATGAGACAACGAAGATAGTCAGACAGGATATCAAGAAAATAAACACTTAAGGGTTCATTCGGGACCCGCAAAAACGCTAGAGAGATAGTAATACGAATGAAAATTGATTGAGATATTGGATGGAAAGATTTTGGGAGGAAACAGTGAATTGGTCCAAACTCAGTAATTCAATTTCAAATATTTGTTCAAACTGATTTGGTTATGGGTCAAGTCTCAAATCTGGAAAAAATGTTCAAACTCATCTATCTATATATTTCTAGTATATGACATATAATAAATCTAAATATGTGTAAAATCTTAAGAACATCTAATAAGACCCCAATTTTGTTTTTCCTACCATTGCCAAACATATGATAATTAAACATTGATTCATGATTGGACAGTGTTTTTGTGCAATGTCTTGGAAAGCAGAGGATTCAGGACAGCATGTCTGTAGCATAATCATAAACAAACCTGAGCAAGGAAGTACAGATACTGCAACACAGGTGATTTACGCAAATTGATTCCATGAGCAATGTTATGACATAAAAGAAATCCAGCAGCTAAATGGTCAATGTCGCCTGCCTGCATGGATAGAAGGTGTGGGATCATTAGCCAATACAACAAAGCAAGTAGATGTATATTCAAGAACCAAACTGAACACAAACCTCCCCACAATGAGGTCGGAATCGTATTGTTGGGAATCCTTTTGATTCACGAAGCTGAGAGCAAATAAAATACAAATACATTTCAGAACAGAATAATAGAATGTAAAATACAGCACACCATATCATTTATCAATACTCAATATAAAGAGTCAAGTAAGTAGTCATCTCTTTCAATAAATTCTCCGAAGTA